GGGCCATCAGCCAGGAGGGACAAAAAAAAACACAGATACAATGAATCGTCGATTCCCAAGAAGATCTGGGAAAATACGGGAAGTGGGGGGTAGGAAAATATGGGGAGTCCGGTTATTTGTGTGTACTTATTTGTGTGTGTCCCAGGGCCCCTTCAATCAGGGGCAACGTTTTGGGGGGGTCGTCGGACGGGGCTGGGACGAGGATGAGTCCGTTCCAGAGCGTTCCGGAACGCTGTCGGCACGCTCTCAAAGCGCTCTGGAGCGATCTGACAAGGCCGCGGCGCCCGAAACATCCAGCGGAGCCGCGAGATCTCAGAGATCTTCGGTCACCCGATTTCATGATCGCCCTGGCGTCGTCTTAGATAGGGTCGGGCGGAGGCGTCGGCCCCCAATCGCTGGACGCCGACGGGGGCCCGATAGCCCCACCCCGCCGAGGATCGGAAGCCGGGCAAGGGCTGCTAAATCCGTGGCTGCTAAAATCGACTTCCGGGAAGTTGTCTTCGTCCTTCCGGGAAGAAGCCCGTTGACTGTTTCGCGTGCCGCGCCTCATTCTGGGAAGTTGTTTTTTCCTTCCGGGAGGGCCGTTTTAGCAGCCACGGTTTTAGCAGCCCTCGCCCAGCTTTCGACGGGAGCGCAGGGAGTCGCCATGAGGGGGCCGACCGCCGATCTATCGGCGCTGCATCGCCGATTTCAGGTCGCCGTTTCTCTCCCTGAGCCGTCCCCCTCCTTACGCTGCCCCCCGCCACAGGGCGGACGCCAGCGCGGGGAGGGGCAGGAGGACGAGGAGGAGGAGGAGGAGGAGGAGGAGGAAGAAGAGGAGGAAGAGTAGGAGGAGGAGGAGGAGGCTGAGGGGGAGGAGGAGGAGGAGGAGGAGGAGGAGGAGGAGGAGGAGGAGGAGGAGGAGGAGGAGGAGGGGAGGAGGAGGAGGAGGAGGACCAGTGCACCCGCAAAATTCACGATGCTGGAATAAACGTTCCCTCCAAGCCCCCTTTCGCATAGGTCCCTACAGTGATTCACTTCCGCTGACGGACGTGTCCCGTTGGGAGACAACCGTGTGGGAAATCCTGAAGTGTACCAAAACACCACGCCACCAGTCAACTTGATTGTTGTGTTCTGACGATCCTGAATCGCACCAGAACGTCGTCCCTGTGATGTCCACACCGCGAACCGACGGAACCGCTGCGCCCTGACAGTCCTGGACCGTTCCAAAACATAACTTCTGTGACGGTGACCATGGGAGCCCGTGAAACTCTTATAAAGTGTTCATACGAGTGCGCGCGGCGCTAAGGCGAGAGCCACATTTTGAAAAGGAGCCGCCCTCAATCCGTGCGGTCTGTTGCACATGATTGAAACGAATGTGCGCGGCGCCACAGCGAGAGCCACACTTTGAAAACGACCCGCCGTCAATCCGTGGAGGTTGTGAAGTTCTGTTAAGACGACTGTGCGCTTCGCTGAAGCGAGAGCCACATTTTGAAAATTGCCCGCCCTCAATCCGCAAAGTCCTGGCAAGTTATAACGAATGCGCGCGGTCTTAAGGCGAAAGCCATAGTTTGAAAACCAACCGCTCTCCATCCGTGAAGCCGTTGCAAATGATTAAGACGAGTGCGCGCGGCGTCGGGGCGAGAGCCACATTTTGAAAACCACCCGTCCTCCACTGGCGATGGCGATTTCAGTTTCTGAGCTTCAGGCTCAGGTTTGGTGAGGAAGTCTCAGGCGAAACGCCCAGCCCGCCCATCCAGCTGGCCTCGGGGTGCGACAGGGAGGAGCTGTTCACAAGAAAAACACATAAAGGAGGAGGAGGAGGAGGAGGAGGAAGAGAAGGAGAAGAAGGAGGAGGAGGAGGAACAGGAGCAGGAGGAGGGGGAGGAGGGGCAAGAGGAGGAGGAAGAGGAGGAGGAGGAGGAGCAGCAGGAGGAGGAGGATAGGAGGAGGGGGATGATGATGAGGAGGAGGAGGAGGAGGAGGAGGAGGAGGAGGAGGAGGAGTTATGCGCGCGGCGCTCTGCGCCAGGGGGCTGTGGGCCGCCGTTTGGAGGGCACCTGTCCTGATGTGTGGCTCGATCCGTGCGGGGAGCACTCTCCCCCCCCCACCCCTCCCCCTCACCCTCCCTCTGGCTTTCCGCCCCTCCCCTTCTTCCCTCCCCTCCTTTTTCCTCCTCCCCTCTCTCCTAACCCCCTCCCTCCTCCCTCCTCCCTCTCCTCCTCCTCCTCCTCCTCCTCCTTCTCCTCCTTCTCCTCTTCCAGCCTTCTCGAGCCCAGCGGGTCCTCCTCCTCCTCCTCCTCTTCCTCCTCCTCTTCCTCCTCCTCTTCATCCTCCTCCTCCTCCTCCTCCTCCTTCTCCTCTTGGAGTCGGGGACGTGGGCGGTTTCGGGAGCCTGGCGCACAAGGCGTGGCAGGACTCGAGTACTGTAGGTTCCGTCAGATCCAGGCGTTGCGATTTGTTTCACACTGCGCGTTTTCGCCAGGTGTCGGTTCCCGGGACCGTCACAGATCGATTCGGCTCGGGATATTCAGCAGAAAGATGCAGTTTGGGGCTCCAGTCTTAAATGTAGAGGGAAAGGGAGAGGGAAAGGAAGAGGGAGAGCGATGGGGAGAAGAAGAGGGGGAGGGAGATGGAGATGCAGATGCAGATGGAGACGGAGACGGAGACGCAGAAGGGGATGGTGATTAATAGAGAGAGAGAGAGGAAACACATGTTATGTGTGCGCGTATATGTCTATATGTATCATTGTGTACACCCGTATACAGATATACCTATATTGCGAAGGCCTTACGGCCGGTGCCGCCGACCCTGAATGGCGACGACGACGACGACGACGACGACGACGACGACGACGACGACGAGCGCTCTTGGGGGCCTCTTGGGGGTAGTTTGTGGGCCTCTTGGGAAGCTCTTAGGGGCCGCTTGGAAGCCTCGTGGGGGCCTCTTGGGGCTTCCTGGGGGTCTCTTGGAGGGGGCCTGGGACGTCTTGGAGGCTTCTTGGACGGTCTTGGGGCTATCTTGAGCGTTTTCGGCCGATCTTTGGGCGACTCGGGGCCCTCTTGGGCCGTCTCGGGGGCCATCTTGGGCATTCGGACCTCATTTGGAGTGTTTTCGAGGTTTCTAGGCCGCCCGAGGAAAAACGAATCTGCCCCCCCACCCCCCCGGGACCCCCCCCCCCCTGGGGAAGGGATCAAAGGGAAGGGGCTTCCCTTCGACTCGATTACGACACTGCTAGATTTTTCTCTCGCTCACGAGCCTGAGAAGGAAGCTGCAGGGAAAGGGGACGACGGAGGCGACGACCGACGGAGACGACGACTCGAACAGCCAAGCCCCTCGCACACGCCGACAGGGTCGGCGGAGTTTCATGTGTACATACACAGACACATGTACACACACAAATAAATATGTATGTGATAAAGAGGAAAGCGAAGGTCCGCTCTGAGCTGGGTGTGCTCCAGCAGTCTCGAGTCTTGCTCTCCATTTCTCTTGCGTTGCCTCCCCGTCCATCCCCAGGCGTCCGCGCCGTTCGTCAGGGAGAGCTGGCGGGCGCTGGAGCGGCTGCAGAGGGAGCCCGCAGGGGGAGCAGCTGGAGTTCTCTCTCTCTCTCTCTCTCTCTGTCTCTCTTCCCATTCAGACAATCTATATGTAGGCAGAAGTGATTCGTGGACGGGAAAGACACTTGCTACCTCTTGCCGGCCGGCACCACCGACACCCCCAGAGAGACAGGCGGTAGACCGTCCGAGTCGCTTGGTCACTCCGGGGTTTCAAGGAAATGCCCCGCGCCAATTCATAGACGGCGGTGCGCAAAGAAAGAGTCGGGAGCGGACGTTAGAGAATCGCAGCATGCACTCTGCGATTGGCCCAGGGTTTGGGCACGCACGTGGTTACGTTCAAGCAGCGGCGAAGCGTCCTGGCTCGCCTATGTTCTAAGAACCTTTTGTGGTTTCCACGAAATGCTCTTAGAACATTGCTGGCGGAGTCTGTCTTGTTTTGTCACATCGGGTTCATGTTCTAAGAACATTGTTTCTGTTCCTAGAAGATTTTTGGGTTCTAAGAACGTTTCGTGGTAGGACTACAGGAATGCCCGGACGGTCGGTCCCTGCTCAATCTACAGTCAGCCTTCATAGTAAGGATGGGTAACCTGCCCAAGGGTACCCTTGCGTCCTTGCCCCATTCGGCACATCCTCAGCGACTCTCTCGCTGGCCAGCCTCGTTCGAAAAGCGCTCGCGTGGCCCACAGTGTTAGATTTGCCCGAGCCAGCAGTGGCTGAAACCGCTCACCGTGGCGCCAGCACGAGGGCGCGGCCCCGCCGCGCGGAGGAGGAGGAGGAGGAGGAGGAGGAGGAGGAGGAACCGGAGCAGGAGGAGGAGGAGGAGGAGGAGGAGGAGAAGGGAGGAGGAGGAGAGGAGGAGGAGGAGGATGGAGGAGGAGGAGGAGGAGGAGGAGGAGGAGGAGGAGGAGAGGAGGAGGAAGGAGAGGAGGAGGGAGGTCCAGAGGAGGAGGAGGAGGAGGAGGAGGAGGAGGAGGAGGAGGGGGAGGGAGGCCCAGAGGGCCCGCACCACTCGAAGTCCAGGGTGAGGAAGCTGCCGTTGGCACGTGTCATGTCCTTGACATCTGGCACGTCATTGACACCTATCAGGGCATAGAACATGGCATGGACATCTGCCATGTTCAGCTTGCGCTCATCCGTGTAGCGGGTCGCGCAGAAGGGGTTTGTCGGGCACGCACACTTCGACGAGGCGGGGGCGCAGGCCGCTGCGGGGAGTATGCCCATCGGAATGTTTTTGTAGAGTGTGGGTTCCTGGGGTGGCGCATGCCTTCAGAGTGTGTCCAGGGCCACCTGGGGCAACTGGAGGAGGAGAAGGAAGAGGAACAGCAGCTGACGGAGATGATCGATTTTTATTCATCGGCGCGGGCCCTCGCCCCCTCCCCCCCCGCCATGGAGTAGATCTTGGCTGTTTTGGGCGCCTGCTTCGAGCAGGCGGAGTCTCCCCCATGGGACGCGCTGTTGCGAACA